GTGTCATTGTTCTACTAATGATATTTTGCGAGATATAGAAAGATTATATAATCATGAGTTCGAGGATGCAGATGGGTTTCGTAATGAATATTCTGTCGAAGATAAAAGAGCTCTAGAAATAGTTAATAGTTCCTTTAGACTGGAGGGTGGCCATTTCCAAGTTGGTCTACCCTGGAAGTATGATAAGCCAAGGCTACCGAATAATTTGGAACTAGCTGAACGTAGACTAGAGTGTTTAAGGAAGAGGTTTATGAAGGATAATAGTCTTCTGGAGAAATATCAACTTGTAATGAGTAAACATTTAAGCAAAGGCTACATCATTGAAGCTAGTAAGGAGGAATTCGACCGTGATGCTGTTTGTTGGTATATTCCTCATCATCCTGTTATCAACCCTAAAAAGCCTGGAAAATTAAGAATTGTTTTTGATTGTGCAGCTGTCTATCAAGGTTGTTCTCTTAACGATCAGCTTTTGAGAGGACCAAATACTGTAAATAGTTTAATTGGTATACTTCTACGATTCAGATTATGCAACGTAGCATTAGCCGCTGACATCGAGGAGATGTTCCTTCAAGTAAAGATCCCGAGACGAGACAGGGGAGCGTTTCGACTATTATGGTGGGAAGACGGTGATATAGGACGAAAGGCTAAAGAATATTGTTTGACAGTTCATCCGTTTGGAGCCGTGTCCTCTCCCTTTTGCGCTAATTTCGCTCTTCGGAAGACGGTAGATATATTCGGAAAGGAATTGAATAAAGATGTCCAGGAAGTTGTAGATAAGAGTTTCTATGTCGACGACTATTTAACATCAATTGATAATGTGCAGGATGCAATCGAGCTTGCAAAAACCCTTGGTTTACTACTCAGAAAAGGTGGGTTCAGACTTACCAAGTGGATAAGTAACTGTTTACAGGTTCTCGAATCAATTCATCCAGAAGAGAGAGCAGAAGCCGTAAAAGAGATTGACTTTGAGAGACTTCCTACGGAACGCACATTGGGATTATTTTGGAATACTATGGTTGATGCGTTTGAATTTAAAGTTCGCATACCGAAATGCCCTCTCACTAGGCGAGGTATATTGTCGAGTGTAGCTTCATTATACGACCCCTTGGGATTGTTAGCACCATTCACACTTCCTATGAAGCAGTTACTTCAACGTTTGAGTAAATTGGGACTAGGATGGGACGAAGAGATTCCAAGTGAGGAAGGCAAACGCTGGTTAGAGATTTTAAGTGGATTTCAGAGGGTTGAGAACGTTAGTTTTCCACGCTGTGTATTATTCCCACAATCAGATCGCTCGCTCCTGGAACTTCATATTTTCTGTGACGCCTCGGAAATTGGATATGGGGCAGTGGCATACATCCGTTCTTACATCGATGACACTGAAATATGTTCTCGTCTTATTACGGCTAAGGCAAGAGTAACCCCCTTAAAGACTCAAACTATACCCCGCTTGGAACTTACGGCAGCAGTGTTAGCAGCGCGTATGGGGTCCCAGCTGCAGTCCGAGTTAGATATCAAGTTTGCAGAAGTTGTGTTTTGGACGGATTCCATGATTGTCTTACACTATATTAGAAATGAGAAAAGCCAGTTTAAAACATTCATAGCAAACCGGGTCTCGACTATCCACAGTCTTACAAAGGTGGACCAATGGAGATTTGTACCTTCTAAGGAAAACATAGCAGACTTTGCATCCAGAGGAGCCAAGTTCAACATTGATGATGTCAAGGTATGGGAGGAGGGACCACATTTTTTGAAGAAGTCAAAGGAGTATTGGCCTGATGCGGATGTACAAGGTCCTGAACCCCATCTCTTAGAATTAAAGAAGGTAATGTCCACGCATGTAATAGTTGGAGAATCCACTGTTGATCTACTTATTAATTATTATTCAGATTGGACTAGATTACTTAAGGCTGTTGCATGGTTGATCCGATTTAAGCGATATTTATTAATAATGTATTCTGGCAGAAATGATCTGTCTCTACAGGTGGGTATGCTCAGAGTTGATGAGCTAGATTTAGCATGTTTAGATTTAATTCGATATGTCCAAAGCATAGTATTTCGGAAAGAGATTGAAATGTTGTCGTCTGATACCATTAGCAAAGTGAAAATAACAAATTCACCCTTACGAACCTTAAATCCAATAATTATAGACGGTTTATTGTGTGTCGGTGGCCGACTTCAAATTAGTTCCTGGTCTGAGTCGAGGAAGCATCCTATAATATTACCATCGAAGCATACAATTACAGATTTGATTCTACGGTACTACCATGTTTTGGAGGGACATGTCGGAGCTACACAGGTAATGGCAACGGTCCGAGAAAGATTTTGGGTGCTGAGGGGTGGTGTAGCCATGAGGAGAGTGATAAAGGATTGTGTTTATTGTAAAAGGAGGAACGCCCATCCAATTCAACAACTAATGGCACCATTACCTGCGATCAGGATAGAAGGTGGTGACTATCCGCTCTTATCAATTGGAGTAGATTATTTTGGACCCCTTATGGTTAAACATGGTAGAAATACTGAGAAGCGGTACGGTTGTGTATTCACTTGTTTAAGGTTGAGAGCTGTGCATCTGGAGGTGGCATATAGTTTTACCACCGACTCATTTATCATGGCACTAATGAGATTTGTCGGCAGAAGAGGTTATCCAAAAGAGATATATAGTGATAATGGATCAAATTTGGTGGGAGCTGAACGTGAATTAAGAAAATGTCTTCAAGGTTGGGTACAGGAGCGTATACACTCTGATTTACTAAGAAAAGGAATTGACTGGCATTTCAATCCTCCAGCCGCTAGTCATTGGGGAGGAGTGTGGGAGCGTATGATTCGCTCTGTACGTAGGGTATTGGGTGCTCTTGTAAAGGAACAAATTTTAACAGATGAATGCCTTGAAACTTTTATGATAGAGGCGGAGCGTATAATAAACAATCGACCTTTGGTTCCCGTTACAGACGACTCAAAGGATCTTGATGCAATAACACCAGCAAAACTATTACTATTGAGAGAGAATGTTGCAGAATTTACTAACACTGTATCTAATGACAGGTATTCTAAGAGATGGAAGCAAGCGAGTTACTTGGCGCAAGTATTTTGGAAACGTTGGTCTAAGGAATATGTTTCGCTGTTGCAGCGTAGATACAAGTGGACACAGTTAGAGAGGAACATACGAGAAGGTGACTTAGTAATGATATGTTCTGACTTCTCTGAGAAAAACAAGTGGCCCTTAGGTCTAGTACAGAGAGTGATACCAAGTAAGGACAGACTAGTGAGACAGGTAGAACTAAGGACGAGAAAGGGGATCCTAGTGAGAGATATACGTAAACTGTGTCTTCTTGAAGCGGTAGATGGTAGGTAGCTACTCGGATCCCTAGGCGTACTGGTGTAAGTCCTAGGGATCACGAGATTGTTGACATATTGCATGTTTGTTGTTGATTGCTTGTGATGCACATACTTGGATTGTTGTTATCTATTTTTGTCGGTGAAAAGAACCAAGGTTCTTTTGGTCGGGAGTGTTACGGGAGAAATGAAGACATTTTGCTGATCAAAACCTTTATATATAAATATCATTAATTTCACTGTGTTTTTTGGGTATATTTGTTTTACTTAACTTATGAACTTGTTTGAATTATTATTTTCGGCCATTTTGGACTCCTGTTTCTCTTGGTTGTTCGTTTGCAGTTTTTTGCTCCAAGAACCTATAAAATAGAAGGTAATTGTAATTATTATAATTATTGTTGTTAGAACGACATTGGTCGTCTATTTGTAATAAACCAAAGATATTTTGGTCGATTTTGTGATTTGGAATAAACTTTGGTATCTACTTTGGAGTTTCGTTCTTATTTAATATTTGGGATCGTGAATTGCAAATAGATCGACAACCGTGCTTCAAAGGATCAAAAAGCAAAAATCTGGACGTAACGATACTCTTTCCTATTCGACCTGAATGTGTAAATACGCATTATCTGTAAAGCGTTCAATTCCGTTCCTTCCTGCCTTCCTCTCTACCGTATTCATTTAACTTTGTTGCGTTCTGATGTAAAGGAGATTTGGGATTAGTATTTGGGTCGTATTGGAATATCTGTATTTGGACGTCGGTAGGACTGAAGAGCTATGTAGCAGCATTCTAATAGGTTTAGAGATACTCTCTCAAATAGACACTCACATTATTCGTATCCAAGTCAGTTTTATTTGTGTGCATGTGAACTCGTATGTCTTAGATTTTTATTTCGGTCTTTGTACGGTTTCTAGTCAAACCAGTTTGAGCACATTTCGCAACAACCATATCAAATCACGCTAGGTTTTTTGATCACAAAAGAAAAGTACTTAGTGTGTCTTGTTCATATAATCATTATTCTGTTCCTCCAATCATTCTATTAATACATTTTTAACGATTACTCTACGCACACTATTATTGTTTACTAAAAATATTTGCCTTCAACAAACGGTCCATAGGCTACGCCAAATTCACAAATAAACCCAGCAACAAGGACTTTCCCGTATCACACACTATACAGAACCACATCGGTCATACCTGCATGAATAAAAATTTACGAAGGACTATCCATATGGTAGAATCAAAGGAGGGAGCTGAGATTGCTTAAGATTATCATCTGACAGTGGCCAAGATGAAAATGAAACTAATTAAGCACTAGACAACGTGGCGAATAGCATCCTAATGGTTTCTTACGGCCATTCCTTGAAGTTCTGGAAAACTCAACAAACTAAGGAAATCTCTAAACAATAGTTTTTAAACCATTCTTAAGCTGCTCTGCGAAGATAAAACTACCATGGTAAACTACTCCAAAATGAATCACTTCATTTGACTGATTATGAATGTATATTATTCTGATAGATGTTTTCAATAAAAAAAAACAGTACAGTAATCGTCCAGAATTATATATTTATGTGATAACATAGAAAGAAAGAAATTTATTATTTGTAAGTGAAAGGAAAATTGATTACTGAAAATAAGTCAGCTAAACAACATCAGTTCATTACTACTATCCATAATTCACACCATCATCTATGAATACAATAAAAAATGAATTTAATTGTAAGTAACAACTTGACGATAAACTGAGTTGTTCAAATTATACAAGATATATGAAGGTTACGGAAATCTCATCTGCATTTATACACGTGTCAGTAGTATATATTAGAAGAAAACCATGATTCTCATATTATTGATATCTTTATCATATTTAGGACATCATCATTATCATAGATTATTACGCAATCTAAAATACATAGCATGATCGAATTTCTAACAGTTCACTTTACCAAAAAATCACTTACGGGCCTGTCCATGGATTATGGATTGATAGAATTAATTCACGTTTAACTAAAAAATAATTGTGTACAGGTTAATGTTTATCACTGAACCATGAGGTTCTATTATGAACTGATCGGAGATACATACATTAACATCGTTCTGTTCCGACATAATAGTCAAGACAATAAGCTTGAAAAAACGAGACCACAGGGGCTGCATTTCAATGCATCCTATGCAGACGTAGATACCCACTGATAACGAGTCGCATAGTGGACTGATACAGCTATCCAGTGCTTCTGTAGTTCTAAAAATGGTCTAATGTTGATCGGTTCCAATTAAGCGTAACAACAACAGAGATCAGTCATTAACATTTTACCGCAATACATATTTACAACCATTTCGAACTAAGAATAATATAAATTTCTGTGAATCTCATCAGCTCAACTCCCACTGAACTTCAATGGTCAATAGTTCTCGCTGAAATTCCAGGAATAGATCATGAAGTTACAGTCGTTCTTATTAATGCATAGGATTTGTAGAGATTGTGTTATATCTGTTAGTATATCCATCCAATATCCTAAGAGATTTATTGGTCAGTTCCTATTTGTTAATTCCTGCTGGTCAATTCTATGGTCGTCCTACATATCAATGTCATGTACTCCAATGTTGTTTCCTATTGTTCTCATTAACTGCCAATTTCACTGACTTCGATGTTGTTTCATATTCAACCGGGATCTTAATTCTATTCTGGACTCGGACATCGTACTTTCAGAATGCTTGTAGAATATAGGTTATGATTCATATGGGGGTCGGGACACTCGGATTAGAGTAGCCTATGTTGTCGACGGATCCTCGAACCTTGCTCTCGTTTTCCGACTAAGCTAAACTCGTAATAGTTCAAACATATCAAAATGACATGTTTACATGTATGCGTAACAATCGGTGACGGGGATGGCACCACATAGATTCTTGGAGACCTGAAATATTACCCCAGCAGCAGCTGATCTAATGAAGCTGTTGATGGATACCAAACTGTATCGTGACACAAGTCTGGTGGATCAATTCAATCTTACGTTATGTATTGCATCTGTCAACGAACCAGTGCAGACGTGCCCCCTGCTACACCCAGTCCACCCCACTTCAGCTCAATACGACAGCCGATCTAAAGTTACTCGACATCCCATCAAGCATATAAGAAGACAACCCACTAGGATTACAGCAGCCTGTTGTTTCGCCCGATCGTCGAACCTTGCTCCCGTTTTCCAACCAAGGTAAACTCATAATATCAAACTGACATGTTTACGTGCATGCGTAACAATATCTTTCAGTCGAATTCATGAACCGATCTCAGCTAGATCGCCATAACTATAATAGTACAGTTGACCATCGCATCTCAGTTCCTGATGTTTTTTGTTCAAGTATAGATATATTCGTCATGTAAACTATGCAAGACAATAGCATCTTCACAAGTCTCCTTCATTATATTACAGAAAACTAGAAAGGAATAGTAGCTGGAAAAATATCTGTTGTCCAAACTTACACTCATCCCTATTAAATTGGTTGATGTGAAAACGTTGCAATACTATCGTTGTATTCAATTCATCGGCTTCTACAATAATTAATTATTTTTTTAGAAAAATAATCATTTACTTGATTTTTACAGAAATAATATCTTATCAGTAATAATCTTTTAACTCTTTAAACGTATACAATTTCAGCGATATCATACCGGTTTTATTGAAATGGCTTGCCACATGGCATAGAATATTTCGCGAATGAGTTGATATATCTATTAATAAAACAAATTATTTACTTTGATATTTTTTTAAAAAACTGTGTGTGACATGATAGTTAGTAATGAAGTTGTGTTTGGGATTAATTGAACGTTATCAATAGAAAAAAGAAATCATAAAAGTTGAATTATGTTGGACTGTCGTTAGAAATGCGGACCCACTAAACAGTCGGTTCGTTCTACTAGTATAAGAGTTGCTTCGAATGTCTGCTTCCTTCCCGAGTATGATTGTCGCAAATAAATAAATATAAAGAAGGAGAAAGAGTTATAAACCTTGTAAAACTGTCTCTGTAGGAGGTCAAGGAAGATGAACAAGCTGTACAGTATGTGTGCGTGTGTGTGTGTTGTATCCTGATATCAACTTGTAACCTCGTCGTTGAACTGTTATCAAGGAGTATCCTTTGCTTCAACAGATAACACAAAGACATTCTGTTAATCACTATTAACCAACAAAATGAATATTTTCTTTTCACTAATATACAAATCGAAGTCAAATGATTAATAATCAACCCATTTCATTACACTAATGATCGAAAGTGAATTATTTTAAAGTAATATAGAATTTTGAAGATTTATGTTTAATATTAAGCTTATGAATCAATCATTTGGAGTTGTTGAACCTCTTAGTCTCATATATTAGTGGTAAACCACCAGTTGATGGATATATGTGACCCTTTTAGAAGTGTTTTATTCCTAAAAACATTACACGCAAGAATCGAACACAAAACATATTGAAGCTGCTAGCCAACCCTTAACATCTGGACCACTGGACTGGTTGACTTGTATCCTCACTCATTTGTCATCAACAGTTACTGCCTACACTCGACAAGATTGAACTTCACTGATCATATATTTTTAATTAGGACATCATCACGACCGGTTGTCACTAGCGTGCACATTTGACGTTATGTACAACAACAACAAAAACAGTAAACATATACAAAATTTGTCGATCCATTTGTGAATATTATCATTTACGTTAAACAAAAAAAACTTTCCAAATCACTTCAATTATATGAACTAACCATTGTTATTCATTGCTCCTCTACGAAAACATTGATTCATTTCGTCTGATTTGACTAATTTTACATCTAACAAATTTGAGAAAAAAGATAATTTTGCCAATGTTCTATTTATTTCACTACATTCATTCATTCAATCAATCAATCAATATGAAGTGTAAATTATTCAATGTAACAAATTGAACATTGAATAGATTATTGATTCAAAAACTCTAATTAATCGATTGTCATTAACACTTACTGTATCTCTCTTCTGTAACACGTACTGCTTGTTGGAATTCTGCGTTATTTTTTTTATTTACCAATTAAAACAAATAACAAGTGAATGGAATTTAAAGTTTTGTAAAAATTTACTGTTTAATATGATTGATTTTGATGATGAATAAACGACACTAGTCATGTATTGACAATACAACCTAAATATTACAGCTGAGTCTTTTAGTTCCGCTATACAAATATCAGTCTGACAATCTAGGGGAACTATTTTGACATTATTTATGTACATCAATACATGTCGTGATTATTTTCTTATCGGTGATTGCAGAATGAAAACTGGTCTGCATTACATTTCAGTGGCATTCATTGCAGTTTTGTATACTTTTCGTGTCTGGTTATACGATTCTTGTCTTTGTGTGTTCAATAGTCCTCTCTTCTTTCCTTTGATCTTGAGCATATCATCATCATGCTTTACTCAAAGTGTATCCTTCTCACTTGCTACGCTTGTTTGTGATTTCATCAAACTTGCTGGAATTTGATCGCTGAACTGCTTCGCTGATAGTATCTAGCCAGCAAATCCGAAGTATTTTGTGGTTTTATTGATTTTCAAAATTTTCGCTCAATGCATTACAGTTGGAAATTTGAAATTTGCGCTACACATTATGACAGTTGACAGTTTTTTTTTTATTTATCAATGTTCTTTAGTTGTATAAATTTGATCTTTGAATTGTCACTCTGTAGCTTAACATTTTTGTCAATTCTTTCCTGTCTATTCTTGTTGTTGTATAATATGACAGATCATGCATGGCCTTCAAAATATTTACGAGCTTAATGCAGTCAATAGAGGAGGATTTGTAAATGTAACTGTCTAAGAATAGCTGATTTATTAGGATAGTAACGTTTAGGAGAGTTTGGGAGGGTGGTTTCGTCAACAATTGACAAGGACCGTCATGCCAAATTACTATTTACCTACATAGGGAACGTCTCAGCTAATTACTTATCAACATACTTGTTCCTAATACTACTCTCAATGGTGTATATGCATTCAACCAGTATTATTCAACCTCATAAAGAAAACTTTCTTAGGTGTTGCTGATTGGGCGGGCATAGTAGGTTCAGCTACCTTATTCCGTTCCGTACATAACGAACTTGCTGAAAATTCAATTTTTAGTAGCTCATTGAAATTCAGACAATTTCAAACTTTTCTCTTTGATAGTCCAATGATTAACATTTATTTCTACTGATTAGAACGTTTTTTTTTAATTAAAAAAAATGCATTTTCATCAAACAAACCTATCATTAGTTCACTTGAATGTCTATTTCGCGTGTTGGCACGTTCACAATCAATATCTGGAATTTAAACAAATAATTATTATTATTATCATCATGATTCATTAAAAAATATTGATCTATTGAATCTTCACTTACACTGACTGATTGACGATGTTTGAGAAGGACGCGTTCTGTCCATGTTTGCTAAACAAAATATATACATAAATGATGATCAGATGTGCTATTGATTCGCAACTCAAAAGTTACATAGATTTCAGGTACTTATTCTCTTAAGTTATGCTTCTTTTCTTTTAAACTCTGTTAACATCATATACAATGCATATTACGGTAAATAGTACGAATTTTTGCTTGTCCAAAGATATCTAACAATTCATTTAGATGTGGATTCAGTCAGTCAGTCATTTGCAACGTAGAATTTTGTACATATGTACATAAGTTCATGTTGCCATACCACATTATTAACACAGAGACGCAAATGTCAAATCAAATCCCATAGTGTGATAAAGATAGTAGAGGCAATAATGGTACTGAAGAAGACTAAGGTTTGAAAATATTATTTATGAAGTATAATTCAATGAGATAATGTTAGAAAGACAAAAGTATGGGTGCTAAAGATTCCATAAGATTAGAATTTGAGAGAGCTCAACGAATGGATGGATGCACTTGCGCGACTGCAAACGATTTTTAGTCATGTCGTTCAAGGCATCTAACCATTAGTGACTATGAGATATGGTGTCATAGTCATTGCAGAATTATTATTCTATAATCTTTACGTTTTCATGTAATGTACCATCTAGGAAAATGCATTTAATTCGATACGATATATTGTGTAGTCAGATAAAAAACATCATCATCATCATCGTCATCATTCCAGTGTGAACCCACCTTCAAGTGTTTTGATTGTATTTTCGTACTCTCTTATTAATCTTAAATGTTCTTTAATAAAACCTACACATTATTTATTTAAATTAAAACATTGAAAAGCGTTTTCTTTTAACAAAAATTCATCAAATAAGTTTGTTCAATTCACAAAACATACGCTATATCTATGATTTTCAAAAAAATAAACTTGTCAATGATCAATATATCATGGTCATTGTTTCACAAAAACTTATTAAAAATTTGTAATATCACCAATAACAAACAGTCTACTCTATTAGTAGTATATGAAAATTCTTTAAAAGAGGAAGAAGAAGAAGGTGAAAGGAATGTTTTTTTTTTGAAACTGAAGCAAACTACACAGCTATAATTAGTAATTTTCACGCATTAAATGACTTGAAAAAAAAAACACACACACACGCACAACATAACTTGTACAAAAATTAGTGTAGGATACTATGAAATAAAAATTTGAATGATAAATATTTCGAAAATATTATCTAAACGAATACTTACCGTCTATAGTACACAAATCTCTTTGGTATCTATCGTCGAGTGTATCACAGACTAACAATGAAACAGATAGGTATAGCAATTTATCAAGATACCAATAAATCCAACATTATACACACACACACACACACCAAGGAGTTATTTCAACATCTTTACCAATAATAGCCAAGTGGTATTGATGGTTGAGAGAGTAGTAAACATTTGAAGTTAGTTAGTTAGTAAATGTCGGTGAAAAATTTTTAATGGACATCGCATTGCACATTCTGCATGTCAGGTAGAAAAAGAAGATCGACTCAGTTGAATAGTTAGTTGAGAATATACTATTTAGCATTGATATCATATATAATGTCATACCCAAATATATTTTACTCAAGTGTTAGATAGATAACTTACCATCTCCTACAGATTCATGTAAAAATGTATAAACCAAAAAGGTAATCAACGGCACATATGAACACAACATTTTTCATTGGAAATTTCATACACTGTACCGCTTTATTTATAGCATTTGAAAATGATGAAGATTGGTCAATGAAGTAGTGTGATTATTTAAAAACGTTTTGGTAATTTGTTAAAAGCTATGAAATACAAACATTATTTGCGTGACCATTATTCACAAACACATAGATTGTTATCAAATCAAAAATGGATGACAATTGATAATTATTTCTACTACCTATACTACTACTGTTTAACTACTACTGTGGTGCGAGCTACTTATAAGTAGTATAGGACGTGAGTGTCAACGTAATGTCTGACAGCAGTAGATGGGCGGGATCAAGAAAGGAAGAGTTAGAACACAATGGAATTTGTATGGAACGCATGAACAGTGACAATGAATTGATGTTTTGCATCAGTCTAGTTCGATATGATGGACTGATATTTTGCAAATTAAAACGATTTACGATATGGTTTTCCGATTTTACTGAGTAACTCTGTAATTTTTGTTAAAATGCAATCCGGTTGCCCCACCTGTGTTCTCGTTCACTACACTACTACTACTACTGATATACTGACATTACTCATACTGTGTTGTGCGCGCTACTTATTAGTAGTAAATGACGCGAGTAAAAACGTAATGTCTGGCAGCAGAAGATGGGGGGAAGATCAAGAAACGATTTGTATGAAACGCATGAACAGTGACAATTGAAGTTTTGCAACAGGAACAGTCCAGTTCGATATGATGGACTGATATTTCGCAAATTATCGATGAACGATATGGTTTTTCTATTTTACCAAATAACTCTGTAATTTGAGATAAATACAATTCGGTTGCTCTCACCTGTGTACTCCTCCACTACAATACTACTGCTGCTACCAGTACTACAATAATTTAATTTGTATAAATGAATTCAAGGATAATTTGGCATTCTTAAACAGTCCTTTTCAACTTCTGGAATCGTAAGGAACGTGATAAAAGATTCGTTGACTCGTGTACGATTAAATATATATATATATATATATATATATATATATATATATACATTCATTTCAAGTATTTCAAATCGTGTTCATATTAGTATGCATATTTATCACTAACTTGTTACATCTATCTTTCTTTTTTGCTTATCGGTTATAATACCTTGTGTCTTTTAACACATCTGTTTTCTAACACGATATATTTCTTTGTTTGACCTCAATTAAACATAACAGAGATTAGTCTAGCCATCATACTATTCAGTTGTAGTACGGCTCCAACTGAGACAGCAAAAGCAGACGTATCATTCACTGCAATCTTAATCCACTCTCTTCACAAAACGTTTGGTCATTTGGACAGCGATAATTTTGTTCATATGCAAAATTCTTTCGTATAGCTGTTTATTTTAAGGTGAACAAGTCAATGGAATCAAGAATATGATTCATGATGGTTTCATTCGAATCAAACTTATCCATTACTTACCTCTTCAAGGGTGCTCTCCTAATGGATCATATGCCGCCAATGAGCATTCTCTAACTCCACTTGAAGCCCTTCTAGGCTGAGTGCTGGTCAAGAACTCCCATGAATGTTGAGCTGATGTTGACCGTTGAACATCAAACGCTTTTCATATCTGTTACACTTATTTAAAGTAATTAAAATGGTATTCAGATTAGTTTGCATACTTTTTACTAAACTGTTACATTTATCTTATGTTACTTATTGGTTATGATTTCATTTTTGGTCGTTCAACATTTTATTTTTCTTTATTACAGCTTTATCAAACGCAATACGAATCATCACGGTCATCAGATAAATCAAGAAAAGCAAAGCGATAGGACCAGATAGCATGCCAGCAGTGGGCGTGGAAGCAAACGTAAAAGTGACTGCAATTTATGCTACATGCTTACTTCGGCAGTAGATTGAAAGGAAGCAAATCTCATCATGAAGCCAAAAACAGGAGATGTTAGCTACAGTGATAACTACGGAGACGACACTATTCCCTCAATACCAAGAATATTATTTCAACGTAGTGTTATTCTATCAAATAAATGTTCAGTAAGCTTTCAAATCACAGACTGAAAGGTTGAATTTCATAACGGTCCACCAAGTATCAACCTTATCGCAACATTAATCAACACTCAAACAGTCAACTTGATGGAAATCATCAATATAAATACAACCTCCTAAACTACAAAATGCAAAAGACTGTAAGGACAATTGCGCATCATGAAAATTCATTCAATAATATGACATGTGTTATAAGATTGTAAAATTCATGTCTAATTCTAACAGTGGATTGCACTGCAAGATCGCGCATGTCGGATAGCTGACAAACTTGCTCTAAGTGAAAACTGGTGGCGGAGCCTTGAAGAATTGCAAGTTCATTCTGCTAGATCCTCACTGTAGGTTTTACTTCGCGTTGACAAACGAAGCTTGCTGCCGAAAAAACAAGCAAACTTAAAACATCTCTTTAGGGACATGACTAAATGAAAACCTACGAAGCAGAGTGTTTTGTGCCCTCAAAGGTACAAATAAAAAACATATAGCAACCTACAGATTGCTGATATAATTAAGACCAAATTCACCACTCACCTCAAACACATAAATATAATTTCAGAGTACTACTCAAACACAAACTGCTTGCTCCTTTGAGCATCACAAGAATGTGACAGTATTCACTTTATAGTCTTAAAACAGTGTAAAGAAGCCCTCAATTCACCGGCATGTGAACTGTTTAGGTACTGTTAACGTCCATCTGAATGGAAACAAGCTCCTGTCTCTCTACGTTTTAAAGGAGTAGATAGGGAGGATTCAGCATGTTTGTTTGCACTGGTGATGGTAGGACCAGTGAATGAGTAATTTAGGGGTGAACGGATAAGAACACAAACTTCTATGAAATTCACCACGATTTTATGGAAAACTGGTCACATTCATCCAATCCAGTAAACGTATGGGACAGCTAAACAAAATGTAGGGAACAGAAAATCCCAATTATCACAATATTTCTTCACTTTCCAGCTGTTCTTGAAACAGTTCCCAACGTAATTATAATTGCAGTTTGCGACTACAGGAATAATTGATCCCTGTCTATCTTCATTTCAGAATCTACCTCGAGAATATTAATTTTTTTACTAGGATAAATAGATGCAAGCTGGTGAGTCTCAGCATCACAAGATTCAGTGGGGACAATCCTTACTCCACTGTTCTTGATATTCATTGTTGACATGTTATACAGCATTACGTCAGACGAACTAATGAAAGCTGAGGATGCACAGATCTGGAGGTCATTAGAAGCAAATTACACTTCAAAATATCCGAAAATCTGCTGAGTGATGTTTACTAGAAAACGTGGCTAAATGCAATTATTCGAATATCACGTCAATGACACTTTGCCGCACCTGATGCAAACAACTGACATCCTGATTGTAAGTCTGATCTTTATTGTCTCTAAAGAGCAATAAGCCTGAACGTCTGTTCAAACAAAATAAGGGGGAAAGCCAAGGCCAACACAACTCACTTTAGGGGAAGACATCTTCATTCAGTCATCTCACAATTGCTCCTAACACCCTTTAATGCATACGCACGTTTACACTTTGACGTTCAGTAAGTCCTTGCACACACTCACCTTAAGATAGGAATAAATCTCATGGATCCAGTGCACAGACGATTAAGTGAATGGGTGGTGTGGTTGAAGAACTAATAATACAAAGACAGACTACAACACCTGGTATTTTTCCATGTGAGTTACAACAGAATCCGAGATAATCTGTTAATGACATACGATATATTCAGTATACCGAACCATCCCAAGATTAGTATCTTGCTAAACCATCACTAACACAATCCTAAAGGTGACTCTCGAAAACTCTCACATTGAAGAGCGAACCTCAGAATTTCCTTGTAGGACTTCAGGGAAGCATCGATTCAGAAAAACTGACTACTTGGAAAGGGCGAGTACGTGTACAATCCGGTGTGCCCCTTGAAGTAAACAATCCCTACGATAGTTCACCGTGATCACTCACTTGAAAAGATGTTTAAGAGCAGAAAGCATACTCAACATTAGTGTAATTCTTCGATACGCTTGTAAGTGATAAAAATACACATCCATGTTGAGGTACGAAGACAGCCTGGTTTGCTCCATTCGAGATTTGTGATTCTCCATAATGGAATAAACTTCCAATGAACATCAGTGAGATTAAAATGAACTGCCTAAACTTTTTTAAGTTTTATCATAATCGCCTTTATATTCAGCGATTTAAAGGATATCTATAAGTTTAAATGTATTGCTTTAATTCACTAAATGTCTCATACGAATCATTAAATTCCTTGTGATTTGAGGCATTGCTCCTTTGCTCATTGCTCCTTTAAGGTCTGAAAAAGCATGAGAAAATGTGTAGCGAACTAAAGGTGAACTTGTCTCCGACGCATTTAAACATTTTTAGTGATGTATGTGAAGTCATCTCTCTTTCATCTGGCGCATTGTCTTACAACAAAAAGCTCCATGACTACCAGATCGTATAAAATTTAACTTTGTTACTCAGGTTACTATCCTGAAGCAACGGTTTACACTTCGCTGGAAGAAACTGTATCCGAAACATGCTTGCAACGTTGCCTAAAGTGGTGGGAGGTCGCTTCATTGTGTCAGCGTCTTGACTGTTTACGATTGTATCACTTGCGTATTTTCAGTCTACCGGCTGATATCTTGATTGTAATTCATACGCTATAAAATTACAAAACCTAAACAGTCTTAAACGACAAGTACGTAAACTGTACGGTATGCTACTTGAAGTAGACGACACTGTGGAGAGTTCATCATATGAACTCAATTGACTAGTAGTGTACTGAAAGTAATCATATACAACGTAAGTGTTAGCATTCCGCAATCCTGTCAATCATAGGAAACATTTCTATAAACTCACGACTGACAGAGATGTATGCCACCACATTTCCAAAGAATAAGTAACGTTGATAAAAGTATGTAGATTAACGAAGACGTAACCTCAAAACTAGCGGTATTGAATGCACCCATATGTGCAATAAATACA